CAGGGTAATCTCTTTCTGTGTTAACTTGATATCAGCAAGTTTGTTATCATAATTACACTTACATAATACATTCACCATTTCCATATAAAGTAATTTAATCAAGACAGGGGTAGGTTGTGTTTGATTGGCTACAAACAAATCACAGGTTCTGGCCACACTCAGGTGGAAGGAATTACACAAATGCATCACTAATAGGAGGGCACCTTGGGCATTGTCTGCCACCGTTAGAATGGTTGAAAGCATGTCATAATTGTAACAAGCACAAATCTACATATTTGTAGTTACCTAGTAGTAATGCTGTGACAACAAATCATAGAATTTTAAAAACTCAATTTGGAGAAGACTCCATTGCATGTAAGGACAACTGGAGAGAAAAGTAAAACTTATACAAGAAAATTTGATATTGGCTCACAGAACAAATTCTCAAGGATGTCATAAAGGACACCACAATAAAACAATAGGTTGATGAATTCAATTTCCCTAAAATTAAGGTCTTTTTGCATGAATGTGTACCATAAATAAAATTTAAAAATGCCTTCCCAAGGAAAATTTAAGATTAAATGGAAGCTTTTACTATGCTATGTATTGCTTGCTAATTATCAGGTCTGGGTGGCTTTTTTTTTTCTTTAAGGAGTAGTGACATTAGGTGATTTTCAAAAGACTCCAGGGTAGGCATATCTGTAAGAGGAAGAGAAGAGAGAACCATCAGAAGAAGAAATAAAGTGATATTGACAAGAAATTCAAAGGATGTTTTTGATGCCTAAGGTGTAACAAAGAATTGAGGGTATCTGTGACACAGAATAAATAAGGGCTTTGAAATGGTATACTCTGAGAACAATGCTGAGGCATCAGGAAGATGTGGCTAGAGACCCTGGAGCAGTTACAATGTTGAAAACACATTTATGAGCCTCCAACCTTTCTGCTAAAATGGGATGACAAATCCAGATGGGATTATCTCAAAGACATCCACATTAGAAATATATTAAAGAGCTCTATAAAAATTTTTCTTTTCTTAATTTTCTGGGAAGATATCTCTTCCTAAAACAAGATTATGCTTTTAAAAAGAGGATAATTTTTGTTGGCAAATTTTAAGGCAGAAACCTAGAATTTTAATATTGTAAGTTTGCTTAAATACATGTTATTTTGTGAATATAGCCCAAAGGATGTTATCCAGCAGTTGCTGAACACTTTTAGAAAAAAATAACACTCCTATCACCTTCCTTTTTCAGTAACAATTTATTATCTGCCTAAGGATTCATTAATATGATGTTATTTCAGGCGTAAAATTCAGTGAAATTTAAAGGTTTTTAAAGTCACCATGCCCTTTGATTTTACAATAAGGTAATTGCATAAAGCATAAGTGTAGAATGATTTTACTTTCTCTGCAAAACATGTACATATACCTTAATATAGATTTATTTAAATAAAATGACTAGAAAATTGTTCATGATATTTCTGGGTCAGATTATCTCTATAATCTCTGGCAAGCACATTATCTTTCTTTTGTGAATGGTATCCCCTCTTCTGGAAATTGCTCTTCCATCCACTACCTCCCTGGAAACTGTCCTTTTCTTTCATGAATCTTCCCAAGTTGAAGTATAATTGTCCAATAACAAGCAGTCATCCAACCTAGACCAACTGTAATGTCCCACACGACTGGCTTTGTTGCTGTCTCTGACTTGTCTGAAATTGACCTTGTGGAGAGTCCTTCTTGGAATCAGAGTAAATGTGTATCATTCTGTCCTTAGTTCTAGGAACTTTCAGATAGAGAATTTATGAATAAAGGAAGGAAAGAAGAGGAAAGAAAAGGAAAGGCAAGTCCTAACTATTTCACTGTGATACTTCAAAACAACTTTATAATTTCTCTTTATAGTCACCCTTGACCTGGGGTAAATTATTATTAATAGATTCAGTGCTAAAGGGCAATTGTGTAGGATTAACTTCTGCTTAATAAAATAATTAAAGCAAGTTATTTGGAACTTGAAATCTATGCTTCAGCTTCAGGCTTTCCTCTGAATATGTTTAGAGGAACCATATTCAGGAGTTATTTTACAGCTTCCCATTCATGAACAACAACAGGATTTTGGCATTGCTGCCTCCTTGCACTATGACAGAGTCATGCACACCTCCATTCATGTACCCATCACTGGGACTCTGATGCCTCCCTCCATCATTGACAGTGTCATGTACACCTTCACTTTTATACTCAATACCGCTGCTGCTGCTGCCTTTCTCCTGCAAATCACCTATTTCCAGGTAAGGCAGAACCATAGTCATAAAATGGAAAGGAAGTCAAGGTACCCAGTGTCCAGGGAGAGATGACTGACTATAGGTCATCCAAGCAGACCTCTGAGTTAGGCAAATAAATATGCTGATCACTGATGTGAAGAGTCTCATCCCCTCAAGTAGTGAGAAAGCAGATGGATTTGCTAAGCTGAAATGTGCGTCGGGTCTGGAATTGTCCATCTGGTTCTTCTTCAGGAACTTACAATGGTGGTAATTTCATGAATTATTCCATTCTTTGAATATTCCATTTGGGCTGTCTTCATAACTCTTAGATGTGATTCATTACATTTTATTTTTGTTTGTTTTCTCATACAGTTTTGACTTAAATTTTATGTAAAAATTAATGCACATTTTAAAAATAACATAATTCAGGGCTGGTAATGTGCTCGCCTGGCATGCGCGGGGCGCTGGGTTCAATCCTCAGCACCACATAAAAATAAAATAACGATGTTGTGTCTACCGAAAACTGAAAAATAAATATTAAAAAATTCTTTCTCTCTCTCTCCTCTCTCTCTTTTAAAAGAATAGCATAATTCAATAATATTTTCCCAGAAAATGATATAACTCTGACATTAACAATATTTAGAAAAATATTTTTGAGGGTCTTTAAAAACTATATTTTTAGTTGTAGATGGACACAATACTTTATTTAGTTTACACAATTTTTATTTAGTTTTATTTGGTGCTAGGGATCGAACTCAGGGCCTCACACATGCTAGGCAAGTGCTCTACCACTGAGCTACAACCCCAGCCCTATTTTTGAGGTATTTTATTGCCTCAGATTAATTATCCTGATTGTTTTATACTGAAATTCTAATTTGCAAAAATTGTAAATGTTTCTCAGAAAATGATCTCAAAATTGAGGTTTCTACCAACAGTCCTGAATGTTACTATAATAGAATAACACATCCTGCAAAAATATTCTAGTTTATTGAAAGTTTTCATGTGGGCTCAAGTTTACCTGTCATTTTTTTATGTAAAACTGGGGCTATGGTGATGATCAGTTCACTCAGCAAACACTAACTGGTTGCTTGTCACTAAGCAGTACTAGTGAACAAGAGTAATAAATTCTATATCTTCAACATTTTATTGTTTTATAAAAACAAAATCATCATGGGGCAGGGTGGCACATGCCTCTCATCAAAGTGACTGGGAAGGCTAAAGTAGTAGGATCACAAGTTTGAGAGAGGTCTTAGCAACTTAAACTCTTGTCTCAAAGTAAAAAGATTTTAAAAGGGCTGAAAACGTAGCTCCATACAGCACCTCTGTGCTCAATCCTGGTTAGTACCAAAAATAAAAATAAATAAATAAATCATTAGAACTCTTGGGAAGGAGGGTACAGGAAAGGCTTCTTAGGGAACTAAGTAAATTTTAAGCTGATATTAAAAAATAGTAGCTACTTGGATACAGAAAAAGGGAAAAGAAGAACATTGTAGGCAGAAGGGGAGGGAATCAGTGGCCTTTGGGGAAAGATCCCGGCAGGTCTGAGGACTGGGATAGATGCCAAGAATATAGAGAACAAGGAGTGTTTAATACAGAATGTTGTGGACCACAGTAAAAATGTGATGATTGTACAAGGACAAGATATTGGTGAAGGATTATAAAGGGAAGAATATGATGGTATTTGCATTATAATAGATTCTCTTTGGAGCAGAACAAGACTGTCATTAAAAAACAATCTTGGGATTATGACAGGAGATGGTAGCCTGGAGGATTTGAGGATGATGTAGCAGCTGAAACCATTAAGAAGAAAGGAGGAATAATCCAAGATGTCTTCTGGGTTGCCACCTTGAGCAAGAGAGCAGAATGAGAACCTGATATGGGGGAGGGGGTTGGTGGGGGGGGGCGGTGGGGGGATTGTATTCTGGACATGGTGACTTGCAGACACTGCAAGGCTTTTTCCAGCAGACTGAGAGGTGGAGGATTTGAATAAGGAAGATGAGTTGAAACAAAATCTCAGAAGGAGGTTACCTAGGAAATAAATGAATAGAGATATTTTAGTATGAAACATATAGCACATAAAAATGTTACCCCCAGGGAAAATTATGGAATCTCTAGTAACATCTACATTGTTCCCAACCCCTTTATGGCATGGCTTTGCTTTAGTAGAAGAGAGCAGAGTGCCTTGAAATTCTTTTTTCTTTTGGGTGGGCACAGCCTAAGTGCTACAGTCAGGAAAGGATGAGATAAATATAAAATTTGTAAATAAAATGAGAAGTATAAAGTTGTTAAGCTGAAATTCATGATATGACAATAAAAAGGCAAGATGGTTACACAAGTTTATGTATGATATGATAGCTGTTTTATTATTGGGGGGAAATTCTCCTTAAAATGACCTTGGATCTGTTTGATGGTTACTACCCTTGATTTTAAACATGCAACATACAAATAGAACCTGGTAATGATAGTTCATCAAGTCGAGGCCTGTCAAGGGGTATTTGTGCATGTCCGTCACCTCAAGAAATTAATATGTCTATTTTTGTGTCCTTTGCAGTAAACCAGAAATGCCATGCAAAGCCATGAATACTACAAAAGTTCAGCTTGAGAATACCAACATTTTGATCACTTACCTGATTTGATATTGTTGTAGTTGTACATTTTTATACAAGTCATTTGTTTTTGTTTTTTGTTTTCAAAACACATTATAATTAGTTCCCCCAAACCATTTGTTAACCCATGAAAGTTGCCTTAATTTTGACAATATTTTGTTACAGGGGATTATGTTGTCATGACTATATATTTTGAATTGAGCAGAAGAATGGGATACTTTACTATTCAGACATACATTCCCTGTATACTGACTGTGGTTTTATCCTGGGTGTCATTTTGGATTAAAAAAGATGCTACACCAGCAAGAACAGCATTAGGTAAGTGTAAAAAAAAAAGTATTCCACCATTTTTTTATGATTTTAATTCAGAAATATTTATAAGATACCTACAATTAAAGAGATTTGGTTCAAAGCAATTCATCTAATTTGAGAGTTACTTAACCATGCTTAGAATATTTTTTGAAGTATCTAAGTTAGGTTGTTCTTTCTGACAATGAAATTTCATGTGTGCTACTTAAATTAAGACAGATTAGGTATTTGGAATAAATCACCTGCATAATCTGTTACTAAGCCTTAAGATTAATGCCATCACAAAAAAATATAGTTTCATCTTATAACCTGCCAACTTGAAAGTCTCATTCAGTTTCAGAAAATAAAACTTGCTGCAGACATTTGAGGATGAAAGACACTATATTGGTAAAATAGTTTCTCAATAAAAGAAGTTCTACTTAGCAATTTGGGCAGCAAATAAGAAAATAATCATTCTTTCCAGCTATAATCCACATATGAAATCTCAGTCTTTTCATGAGTTTTCTGTGGTCCTCAAAATCCTCTTAATAAAGCACAAAATTATAGTAATGTCAGCTTATTCAACATTTTATATCAGGTTTTTATGGTTAAAATTTCACCTAGCTTTCAATGTTTTTATTTGTGGTAACAGGTAATAGTATGATAATGAATATAGAGTTTATTTCCCAAAAAAATATTTTCTTCAGAAAAGGGGAAGCTGCCTCAATTCCAAATCCTCACAAAGTCTCTCATATTACATTATGTTTTCCCTGTGATTTTTTTTTATTCTTTATTTGACAGTAAAGTACTATTTGCTGAGATTCATTACCCTGCAATATCTTCTGCCAATATTAGTTTCACATTCTTATAGAAAATACATGATAGAATTGGTAAATCAGCAGGCAATGATATGAACATAAATTTAGCAACTACTATTGGATTTATATCCTCATAATTACAAATATTAATTATCATTATGAGCAAGCCCCAATTCAGTTTTGTTTTCTATGGTTTCAGTGGCCCACAGTCACAATAATCCAAAAATATTAATTGAAAAATCCCAGAAATAAATAATTTATAGGTTTTAAATTGTACACCATTCTAAGTAGCATAATGAATCTTGCACCATATCATCTCATCCCACCTGGAATGTGAATCATCCCTTTGTCCAGAATTTTCATAGTGTATATACTACTCACCCATTAGTCACTTAGTAGCCATCTCAGTTATCAGGTCACTTATAATAGTATCAAATTACTTCTATTCAAATAACTCTTATTTTACTTAGCTATGCCTCAAAATGCAAAAGTAGTAACACTGGAAATTCGAATATGCCAATGAGAAGCCAAAAAATACTTACTTTAAGTGAAAAGATGAAAGTTATTGATAATAAAAAAGTCAATAACTGACTTTTTAAAAACAAATCATTATTAATAATGATTTCAGACATATGCTGAAATCACAACACCCATATCACTCACCTCAATTCATCTCATCATGTAGACATTGCATTATCTCACATTATCATAGGAAGAGGAAGTTTAGTACAGTGCAATGAGATATTTAAGAGAAAAAGAACATTCAGATAATTTATTATAGTGTATTGCTGTCATTGTTCTACACTCTTATTAGTTATTATTAATCTTTTACTGTGCCTAGTTTATAAATAAAGCTTTATCATAGATTTGTCTGTATAGGAAAAAAACAGTGTATATAAGGTCTGGTAATATCTGCAGTTTCGGGTATCCACTAGAGGTCCTAGGATATAACTCCTGTGGATAAGGAATATGCATAAACAAGCACACACAAAAAATCAGTAAAAGGATAGAGGATCTACACAATACTATCCATGTCTGTGACTATTTGATATTATAGAACCCCAAATTCATCATATAAATGGACTTAAACTTGTGTCTTCACCATACTCAAAAAAATAATAATTTACATGGATCAAAGATTTATGGAAAAGCTAAAAATGTGAATATTCTTGAATAAAAAATAGGAGTTTGATATTGGGTTAAATAAAAACTTCTTAGACTAGAAACAAAAACCTCCAATGAAGAAAACTTTGAAACATTTATGACATAAAAATACCTTGACCAAACAGGTATTTCTTGCTAGGGGAGACAATAATATAACATCATGAAGATTTGTTTTTTATACACAATAAAGGTATCATCTCCAATGTATAGTTTCTCCTTTTTTCTTTTTTAATGTTTTTGATGTACAGAAATTTTTATTTATGAATCTTTGTATTGAAGGGTTCTGGTCTAAATATGCTGTAAGTATGGGTACTTTTCAATTTTGTAGCAGAATGATTATTTTTAATCTCATAAAATAATACCCAGAATATCCAAGATACCATCAAATATTACCCATTATACAAGAAACTATGTCAATATTGAGATGACTCAGATAGAATTATCTGACCAGGATTTTAAAGTAGCAGCATAAATATGCTTCACTATGTAAAAAAAAATAAAATAAAATAAAAAGCTTCATCAAGGAAGTAGAGGATATAAGGAGAACCAAGTGAAAGTTTTAGAATCAAATATATCCATACCAGAATTAAGAACTTAGGAGAATGTTCAAAATAGAATGGAGGGACCAAGGAAAGAATCAGTGAACTTTGACGTAGGACAAGAAAAAATTACTTAATCTAAGCAACACAGAGAAAAATAGACTGAAAAGATACCAATAAATTGAGTTTGGGGACTTGTGAGATGATCAGAAACAGCCTAACATTATGTCACTGAAATTCCAGGAGAAGAGGATGAAGCTGAAAAAGTATTCAAAGGAATAATGGCTAAAAAATTCTCAAATTTGTCAAAAGGTATAAATTTGCATATTCAAGAAGCTAAGGAAGCCCCAAACAAAATAAATACAAAGAATTTTTTTTAATGGCACTATCTCTAGAAAAGAAAACACAGCATGAATGACAATTTCTCACCCAAATCATGAAGCCCAACTACTGAAAGGAAAAGATTGTTTACTCAGTTTTCTACACCCAATGAGACTATCTTTCCAGAAAAAGAAGAAGTCCACATATTATCTGTCAGCAATCGATGCACCTCAGAATAATGGCCAAAAATACTTCTTGAAATAGAAATGAAATAATGAGCAAACAATATTTGGAACAAGAAGAAGGCAGAAAAACTATTGCAAATAGTGAAAATATGAGTAAATAAAATAGATTTTCAGTCTCCTTTTGAGTTTTCTAATATCTGTGTAATGGTTGAAGCCCAAAATCATAATACTGCCTGCTGTAGTTCTTAAATATTTCAGGGAAATGATTAAGACCATTAGAATCTTCTTCTCTTTATTCAAACTGGCAAACCTGACAATAGGTTATAAATTATGTATGTATAATATATTTAATACTCGGAGGAACCACTAAAAATTACACAAAGTGACACATTCATAAACACTGTGGGGACTGAGTATATAACTCAGTGGGCACAGAATTGTGGGTTCAGCCTAGGGCGGCAAAAAAGTAAATAAACAAATAAAAAGTAGACAGATTAAGACTGAATTCTACAAACTGGTGCAGTGCCCACGGGAGGGCAGGAAAAAAAAAAAACAAGACAAAAAATAGTGAACAAACAGAAAACACAAAACTAAATGAGATTGTATGTCTTAAACATTAATAATTATCCAACATAAATCATCAGAATATACCAATTAAAAAGAAGTTGACAGTGAATAAAAGATAAAACAAGAACCAACTATGATCTGTCTATAAGAAAGTCACTTCAAGTAGGATAATATAGGTAGGTTAACACAAATCTTCATGAAAACTGTGTTTGTAATAGCCAAATCCTGACAGGAAAATGCCTCAACAAATAATGATTAAGAAACTCTGGCACAACCCAGACATGGAATGAACATTGCTTCCCAATAGAAAGGAACAAACTATTAGTACAGCAGCAATTTGAACAGGTCTCAAGGGCATTGCCCTGAAGTGAGGGACACCAAAAATACTCTTGGTTTCTGACTTAAATGAGATGTGAGAATTTGTACTTATCCATCCCTCTGAGGTCAAAAAGAAAGTTGCTCTGGGGTCCTGTGAGGCCAGATGTTTTCCAAATAATCATACATGTGTTAGAACCACCTGAGATTCCTTCTGATTGCCCTGGTGCTTTCCCATTGGAGGGAGATGAGGCTACAGTGCCAACCAGGATCTTTCAAGAGTAACCCTGTTGGCTGTGTAGCTTAGATACCATACTAAGCAAGACTTCCCCATCCAAATTTTTATTTTCTTCTCAGCATTGTATAGTTTGTGTGGGTTGCAGGGGCTGGGGGGATGGCAAAGTGGAACAGAGAGGTAGCCACTAGCTACACACAGAATACTGGCCAGTAGTGACAAATGATGAACAAAATAGATAACTTCACTGAAATAGAAACTAAGATTTTTAATTTCTTTTTAGACATGACATGGTTACCCCATGTTTTAGGTTAAATTAGATATTTATTATAAGAGCTTTTCCCATAAACATACATCTGGAATTAATGTAGACTTTTCCAGTTTACACAGCATTTTTTAAAGATTTTTTAATTTGTTCTAATTAGTTATACATGACAGTAGAATGATTTTTAAACATTGTACACAAATGGAGCACAACTTCTCCTTCTTCTGGCTGAACACAATGCAGAGTCTCACCATTAGTATAATCATACATGTATATAGGGTAGAAATGTTCATCTCATTCCACTGTCCTTCCCATCCCCAAATAGCCTCCCCTCCCAACACTCCCCTCTGCACAATCCCTTCATTCACACCACACACACACACACACACACACCCTGCTGAATAATATTCCATTTTGTATATGTATCCCATTTTCTTTATCCATTCATCTGTTGGAGGGCATCTAGGTTGGTTCCATAGTTTAACTATTGTGAATTGAGCTGCTATAAACACTGATGCCACTGTATCATTATAGCAGTATGCTGATTTTTAAATCCTCTGGGTATAAACCTAGGAGTGAGATAGCTGGGTCAAATGGTGGTTCCATTCCAAGTTTTCTGAAGAATCTCCATACCAATTTCCATAACTGTTGTGCCAATTTGCAGTCCCACTCACACAGCATTTTTAAATGAAGCGTTGCAATTTCCTCATGTAAAGGAGAGACAGGGATCCTATTCTTATTATATTGCTTTTAAAAAAAATCAAAGAAGATAATTGATACCCCATTACCAAATACAGAGAATGTGCAGGGCAAGGCTAAGAGCTTGGACTTCCAAGTCAATATGCTAAGTCAAACTGTCCACCCTGGTGCTTTGAGTTCATTCCACAACTTCCCCTGGCCGAAATGCCTTGAGCAGGTGCAGGGAAGAACTAAAAGAGGGTGACAAAACTGCAAGGTGAGAAGTCATGTCATTCATCTGTCATGTGTACCTAATTCTGAGTAGTACTGCAATGCAGTGTTAACATCCAGGTGCCTATGATTCTGTGGTCCATGATGCTGACCTTCCCCATTCCATAGCTCTGGCAGGGCTGATTTCCCAAGGAGTCCCTCCGGGAGGCACTGAACCTTAACATGCCTCATGTTATGGTCTTCTTTATTTCACTCTTCATGTTCAATGGTCTTCATCCCCTTTTTAATTTGTTTTCCTTTTAAACTATCCATTGCTAACTTAATTATTTCCACAGTCTTTGATTACTCCTTTAGTGCTGACTCTCCTATATGAAATAGTAAAAGTCAAACCAATAGTGAGTATTATCAATTGAATAGTCAAACCAATAGTGAGTATTATCAATTAATTAATTCACTCGAAGCAAAATGTTCACTTAAGTACCTAAAATGTGCTGGCTTCTATACTGGGTGATAGGGAAATGAAGAAGAGAAAGATCCAGTTTTGCTTTTGAAGATCACACAATCTATTTGAGGAGACAGACATGTAAAGACAGATGCAATTCACTGTGATAATGCAAAAAAAAAGTAGTACACAGAGTACAAGGATGGCACAGATGGCAGATGCTCATATCATCAACTCTGTCTGGGATGTTGTCAAGGGAAGGCAGCTCAGAAAGAGTGGTGCTGGACTCCGGCTTGAAGAATGGTGGGAGTTTACACATTGGAAGATAGGAGGAGAGGAGAGGGAAAGAAAAGGGTTTATCTGGTGCGAGAAAAGTGAGATGTGAAATAGCACAGAATGCACAGGAAAACTGCAAATTGTATCTTCACTAAAAGTATTTAAAAGACAAAATGTCAAACAATGAGAAAATTACTAAATCAAACAATATGTCAATTCAGGTACAGAGGATTCTCAAAGTACAATGGAGATATGTCCCCCCAAATCCCATCATTGGTTGAAAAATCATAAATCAAAAATGTATTTAATATGCCTAACCTACTGAACTTTCTAGCTCAGCAACGGAGTGCACTGTAAAGTGTTTAGGGGCTCCCTCTGGTGATCCTCTGGCTGATTGGCAGCTGCAGCTCGCTGACAGTCCTGGGCATTGAGAGAGTGTATCTACTGCATATTGCTACTCAAGGAAAAAAATCTACCTTAGAATTTAAAGTACAATTTCTACTGAATGCATGTCACTTTTATGCCATCATACAGAAGAAAACTCTCAAGTTGAATATAAGTCAGAGCTTGTCCACATTTTAATGTTATTGTGAAGATGATTATAAGAAATGTTATTGTAACCTCCTACAAATTGTATAGATGTTAAAATTAAAAGTAAGATTACATAAGGTATGCAGTGGCCAAGAAGAATTCTTGTTAAGCAGTCACAGTAGAGTGGGGCAGTAGAGTGATCTCTTGTTTTTGTCACATGGCATCTTCTCACCATCTGATGACTGTCTCCCCTCACGCAGGCATCACCACAGTGCTCACCATGACCACGCTCAGCACCATAGCCAGGAAGTCCCTGCCACGAGTGTCCTATGTGACAGCCATGGACCTCTTTGTGACCGTGTGCTTCTTGTTCGTTTTTGCTGCTCTAATGGAATATGCCACCCTCAATTACTATTCAAGCTGTAGAAAACCAACTGTCACGAAGAAGAAAACATCGGTGAGTGGCAAAGATAGCAGAGATTTTCTGGGAGGTGGTGTAAGGATATGTTAAGATAAACATGTGCTAAAATGCTATCATGTTCCTAAGGATCTTACAAAACATGATATAAATAGCTAACTCGATAAGACTTTAAAACACTAGACAGCAATTCTGGAGATGTGAATGTAACCCTCAACTTCTCTCCAGCTCATCACTGCAGGTGACAAGGACTGGTTTAGGCATGCCTTAAAGACTTCTCTAACTAGAGTTATTTGGGGTACAGATGCCCATGTCAGTGTGCTAATTTTTTCTTTCTTTTTTTTTTCCTTGCAGTTATTACACCCAGATTCCTCAAGATGGATTCCTGAGCGTATAAGCCTACAAACACCCTCTGTATGTATAGCTTTATAGGTGCTAATATTTCTGAGAAATTTTATTAAACTAGCTTGCATTTGAAAGTGATGTTCCTGTTTACATATGCATGTACTGAAGACCCATGAGTGATGTACATGCTGCTACTTTTTAAATATCCAGTTTGGAACATTTGCAAAATAGAGTACAAAATTAACCATAATCCTTCTCCTCAGGGATTAGGGTATAGTATGCACTTTTTTCTAAGCATTCAAATAACATTTATTCATATACTTTAGATGAAATAAATAATGATCTATATATTGTTTTATAACCTCTTTTGATAACTCAAAAGCACGTACTTAAATTTTAAATCACTGATATGAACTGCTACTTATATAATAAGCTTCTTTTGTAAGTGGACTTTTATTCCTTTAGACCATATCAATTCCCTAATTACACTGAATGTTTTAGGCCCCTTCTACCATACATCACAGGTGGTTTTCTGTTTTTCAATGCCTTATATTTAGAGCATTTCAGCCTTTTTTCTTATAAGGAGACTTGTAGTTATCTGTACTTCGCAAGTGTATATCATGGTAGTTCTGACAGAAGGTTAGTGGGCAAGCCACTTTTACAGTTGTGGGAAGCGAGCAAATGCTTCCAAATAGCATCCGACTGAAACATAAGGGAGAGAGGCCGTGTGGAATAACAGACCCAAGTCAGAACTAATAGCCTGAGGCCCAAGGAGCACATTCTCACACACAGCCAGGGGCTGGGAGCTAAGGGAAAAAAATATTGACATCTTTGGTGTAGAAATTATACTTCCAAAGGAAGGGGTGAAAATCCTTTAACACAGAGAAAAATAAAATTTCCACAAAACTAGAAAAAAATTTTTTAAAGAGGAAAAGTTTAATGCCCTTGAAAACAGAGAACAATTCACAGACAAGGGTGCCAGACCAAGTGAGAAGACACAATCAGAGATATTTTTCAGACAGAGCTTATACTTTAGTCAAAGAAAAAGGACTGTTTTCAGCTATTCGATGAAAATTGTCACCACTTCAACTCCTTTTCATTACCAGTAAGAAAAAGCAGAAATGAGCAGCCTCCTGAGAGAGGGAGAAGATGTTTTGGGCTCCAATCTCATGTGTGGTCTGGGGCAAGTTTGTGCTTTGATGTCCAAACCCATCAAATGCAAAGATTATGTGCTTCCCAGGTGCCTAAGAAATACCATATTCCAGGAGGTTATGAGGCTGCATTATCCAACAGAAAAAGGAGTAAGTCTAGGACCCAGTTTGGCCAATGATGACTTTGAGGAAGCATTCATTGAAATTCTATGTTGGCCATAGTTTGAAATATTTGTGACAAATGTGAAGCATGCTTGAGAAGAAGTACTAATACAATGGGAAATATAGCTGTCTAGGGCAGAGAAAACAGGTACCTATTGCTTGAGATACTTTGGGCTGTTTTTATTGCATTTCATATTGGTTGATGTATTGCTCTTGTGCCTGCAGAACTATTCTCTCCTGGATATGAGGCCACCTCCACCTGCTATGATCACTTTAAACAATTCGGTGTATTGGCAGGAATTTGAAGATACCTGTGTCTATGAGTGTCTGGATGGCAAAGACTGTCAGAGCTTCTTCTGCTGCTATGAAGAATGTAAATCAGGATCATGGAGGAAAGGGCGGATTCACATAGACATCTCGGAGCTGGACTCGTATTCCCGGGTCTTTTTCCCCACGTCGTTCCTGCTCTTTAACCTGGTCTATTGGGTTGGATACCTGTATCTTTAAGTGCTGCCCTTAGTGATCAGTGAGGAGCACTTGGTTCACATCCTTCACCTTCCATCACCCCCAGACTAGTAGTAACCAGTTGGGAATAGCAAGGAAGGTCACTGCTCACTTTATCTTTAAGTTATGAATTACCTTTCAGCAGCACAGGAAGTATCTGGCAAATATTCCTAATATGTACACATATACACATTAATTTAATTTTCGAGTGATATTCTTACTAATCCCTTACTGCATCTGTAGCTTGGTGATATTTATGAATGGTTTTGGATATTGGAAGCAGCTGCCTATTACCCTTGCAAAGAAATCTGTAAAACACAGAAGCAAATGTCTGAGAAGCTCTCTCGGGCTCTCACCTGTTATGTATCTTTCCTTCATAGGTCTTAGCACAACAGCCCAAGTGTACGGAATCCCTTTTAGCCAAGACACATTTGTGCTGGCCTCATCCCCATGCTCACAAGGCACTCAAAGTTCAAGTGCAAACTACAGTGATTTTTGATCCCGGTTTCTTCCCTCTGCAGTCTCTTTTGCTTCATCACCACCATCGTTATTAGCTAGCCTTCCCTTTTCCTAACAATCTCACCCTAGGCCTGGGAGGACTTCACAAGTCTCCATTTGAGGGGGAAAAATCATGATTTTCAAAATTCTCATGTTGCTGAATTCAAAGATATTGATTATCTCTGGATATTAGGTTATTACTTTATTCTAAACTACTGTACATCAACAGTACTTGAACTTTGGGTTCTTGGACTAGTACAACCTGAGTTCAGTGACATTTCCCCTTGAAATCTGTATTTTATTAGACCAAGGCTCAACTGCAGAGTATGTGTCTAGTTTATGTTGTTATTATGGGTTCAGTAATTGTCTTCATCTTGTGAAGAGATACCGAATGTACAAGACTTTGTCTTGAAAACATTCTAAAGTGTGAAAGAAATGTAGATAGAATTTCAAAAATTTCCTAGCAAATATTAATTTTCAAGTCAAACCAACTTTAGATGCAAAAATGGTTAATGGCAATCATCAATTATATATTTTGGTGAGTTAATATTGTTTTATACTTTGAAATATGGATACATAGCAAAATCCCAAAGAAAAAGAATCCCAAGTCAATACTCTTTTGATATTTTTATAACACAAAAAAAATTTGCTTCTTGATATTAGTTCTTTGTTAAAACTAGATGCCAGTATGACCTTCATATGACTCTTTTAAAGTTTCCCTCCATCAGTAGGAAAAACAAAAAAGACCTACCAGTTAGTTAATAATGCTTCAGAATTCTTAAAATTTTAATACCAGAATCTTTGTGCTTCTCATCTCTCTCTCTCTCTCTCTCTCTCTCTCTCTCTCTCTCTCTCTCACACACACACACACACACACACACACACACACACAGAATTACTTTTATTGGAAACAATTTATTTTTCAATTATCCATTGTGCATATCATTATTACTCAAAAAAGTGAAACATTATGTAGATAAAATATATAAAATTCTAATTTCATACAATTTACTGAATGTATACCAGAGAAAGAGTTGAAAGTAGAAGAGACCAGAAAGACTAATATTAGATATGACTGTTTATTCTTATTAACATTGGTCCATATCAAGTGAATGCAAATATATTAATATATGATCACCCAGTTTTCAAGATACTCAATCCCATTGTTCTTACTGCAAAGCTGTTTTTAGGTTTGATACTTGCTGTTTAAGCAACAAGTCGATTGACTTCTGTTTAGCAACTTTGAGTTAAAAAATAAGGTAATAAATACTTGTGGGGAAATAGGTTGAAAACAATAGTTTAAATGAAATCTCTCCTCCATTGGAGAATTAGTATCCTAGTTCTGTCAAGAATGAAGGTCACTTTTCACCCTTGGCAGACACACTCTGGAAGTGCCCTGATAAAAGAAATTCCCTGGCACACTAAATCTTTGAGTACAGAGAGCAGGCAGCACCAACATAATCCCCAATGTTACATAATTTCTAACAACATGAAAAATTTAAACCTGTTATATTTTAAAAGAAGTTCTGGAGAGAGCTAAAATTTCTAGTGAAATTTTTCTTAAGAGGAAAATAAATAACCTAAAAGCAATTTTTATAACCAGGTTTGGTCCCATGTTACTATAAAAACAATTCTACAGATGCTTCTTATCTCAAAAGCACTCAATATTTGAATGTTATTAGAAACTCTCATGACATTTTAGGTGTAGAATGTGTAGACCCATAGCCCCAGTTTTCTGAATCCAGCCATTCTCTTCCTCTCAATCTCAGCTATCCACCTGATCACAATGCAGTAGTTCATAGCTCCATGAAGGAGAACCTTCCTCTCAAGAGAGTCTAAACAGTGTTCACCTAATAGAGCATAAAATAGATTCCTGCACAGTTAGCAATCTACAAAGTCTGACTAAAAAGAACCAAAGCATCCCCTGAGAGCATACCAATGCTCATTTCTCTGCATAATTCACATACTCCACATCAGTCTCAACTCCTGAGATGAGCCTTGTCAGTCCACAATATAGGAGAGACACATGCACCTTGCTCAGGTGCAGAGCTCAGGGGCTTTCAGAGCATATACGTGTTTACTTTGGGGAAAAAAGTAGAGGAGGGGTAAGGGGCGGGGAATGAGGAGATTATGGGCATCCTCTTTAACCACTCTCCCTCACCAGGATGATTGGTTATGGAGGACATGTGGGGCACACAGACCCAAGACTGTTCCACAGAGCCTGCCCCTTGCCCTACAGTAGAATTGGTGGATATTTTGAGTGGAAGTTATCTGAGTGGTCTGCATTCCGAAGGTGCTAATGTGCTCCTCACTTTAGAAATACTCAAAATTTGAGGAGATGACAGTTCCATGCTTGGACAAGAATTGCAAATTTTTGACCACTGTGGATCAAACTTAAAACTGTGACTATCTCTCTCAAGCCACATTCTGGGTGAGGGGGATAAAGAAAAACTTACAAAGGCATTTTACACGTTAATAAAATTAGATCAAAATGCCTCTTCAGAAATTAAAAGGTTCCAACACCACAGGCCAGAAGACTCTCCAGATACTGGACAGAGAAAGACACTGTTAATATAATTTACTGTGGACTCAGCCAAAACTGCCCCCAATTTACCCAAAATATGCCTTAAAATAAAACAAAGCTCAAATATGCATCTTGTAAGATTTTCCATTTCCTGCAGTCAGCTATATTTCATTCCAGGTTTTATTTCTCTTTTATGCTTAGATGAGAAGAGGACTTCATTTCTTTATATGACAAACAGTTTTATCCTCAACTTTATATCAAATCAGTTCAATTAAAAAGTTTCTGTGGATTCTTCAATTGAGGAAATGCTTGCCCTGGATCACAAGCATTTTCATATGCTACATACGGGAAATTGGGGCCAATCTGAAAGTCAGCAACCTAGTCCTTGTGATGAGGCTGTGAATGTCCATAGAGAATCTTCACACCAACTCATTTGAACAGGCAACAGCCTGCTGCAGTAAAAATTAGTTGTGAGGCAAGTTGCTTCACAGCTCTGCAAAATGTCACGCTCTGGAAACAATGGAGGAGGGAGACCAGTAACCCCATTTCCATTGACTACTGTTTGCCACAACTGGCAAGCAACGGGCCACTCTATCCAAAGGGCTAGAATACAACACAGACAAACCTCTACTTCCTCAGTCATTTTAATCTTGGCTGCCAAACTGAACACTTTTGTGTTTTCCTTTGAGAATGAAAAAATAATAACTGGTCTCCAACCATTATTCTTACAACCTTATAAATTCAATGTTTTCAAGGCACCAAGCATTTCAAATCCACTCTGTGATCTTGCAAAAGTTTATAAGCTTTTTTCAGAGAGTTTATAAGCTGTATACATATGAGATTTCACCTTCAATTTATATTAAAAATAGTGAATGACCTGAGACAAACATAATCTCATGTAAATACATACATGTTCAAATGTTAAACTCCATCTGTGTTTCTAAACTGTCCATTTTGGGCTTCAGAACACTACCTTTTAAAAATATTATTCAGAGATGTGTTTGGAAACAAGGGGGTAAAGAACCAGATTGTGAATACATTGTAAATGTTCAATTCATAATTTTCTGCTGGTTCTCTTTCAAATTTCCTAAATTAGAAAGTGTATAATCTGTACATATTTCTTTTTCTCAGTTTGGCCTGTAGGAAGCAGTTAGGTTTAAAGAGGTTAGAAGTACCTCCATCTTTGTTATCTGTATAATCAAACCCAAAGGACTAAAAACTAACTAACAGTTCAAGATAAATGATAAATTTCATCTCTGACTTATCTTTTAATATAAAAAATAGATTTCTATGATTACAGGGACAAAAAAAATGTATGTCCTTAGATGGTAGGGTAACAGCTTAGCCATTCTTTACTTCTGTAAAAATAAAAAGTTGTTTTGTTCTGTTTTTAATGTCTAAAACTTTTGAAGACTACAGAGTACAGCATTTCTATTTTCTGTTTCTTTAAAGTTCTTCTGATTACAAGGCAGCAATTCCAGGATAAAAGCTTTGTATACTTTTGTTAAGGTCAAAAAGGAGACTGTTTCCATTTATTTATTATTTGTTTTTTTTTTTAATTTTCAGAATGTCCTCTAGTTCAATGATACCTTGATTTTCTTATGTTGTCAAAAAGATCCCTTAATCTTCTTACTGCTATGATTACATAAGATCCCAATATTAGACCAGTTGAAATAAATCAATGCTAGTCCAATGGTCACTAATAAATTTTCCATGTTTGAGTTAATCAAATGGGTTTTTCAGATTACATTATACAGGTACATAAGCTAGAAAATAATTAGACAGACAAATTACATATTTACACACACACACCACACACACACACACACACACACTTACCACATACACACACACACCACCCAGAATAAGCACTATTTGAATATACTGTTCAGATAATTGAGGCAAATGTAAATTGCTTTGCTTGATCTATTCAGATAAGCACCTACTTTTACCACTTCATTTTTCGCATTTGTAAACACAATATAAGATTTCCCCAGTCCAGTGAGCAGACTACACAATATGAGGGTAATAACAGTTCCTGCAGGGAAGGAAGATCTTCTATAACTGCTGAACAGTTTAAATTGAATAGGCTGGAAAGAACATTGATTCTCAATAATGAAATCTCCCGGATTGAGCAAGTAGTTGCTGTATTTTCTCTCTTCTATATATTCAGGATTCCTTCTTCATTTTTCCCAGCAAAGTACACTCCTCTGGTTCTGAATCCATAGTTTCAACCAACCAAGAATGGAAAATATTTTTTAAAAGTTGCATCTGTACCAAATATATACAGACTTTCCTTGTCACTTCCTGAAGGATACAATATAACAGCTACTTTCACAGCATTTACTACATTGTAGTAGGTATTATAAGTCATCTGTGGATTATTTTAAGTATATAGAAGGATGTGTGTGTAGGTTCTATGCAAACATTACACCATTTTACGTAAGAGATTTCAGCATCCTTGGATTTGTTATCTGTGGGGGTCCTGGAATCAGTTTCCTGCAGATCTCAAAGGAAGACCATAATGTTTACATTTGCTATGACAGCCTTAGACCCCAATTTCTCCTGGTTGCCCCACCTACTGAAGTCCTATCCTGGTGAGTGATGGTTATGTACATAACACATTCAATTGGAATTTTTTTGAAATATGCTTTTCTTAGATCAGGAACCTGCAGCATGTTGATTTCAGTCCCCAAGGTATCAGACTTCTCAAAATGACAATATTGCCACTAATTCTTTTTCACAACATGATTAAAGTTCCCATTTTCCATGAAACATTTTTCCAATACACAGCAGTTGGTAAAGCAGACTGCAAGGTCAGCTGCAGGAAAATGAGTTTTAGACACTGAGCTGTCCCTTAATGGACATTGTGATAATCAGGATGGGTGATAATATGGGAAGGGATCACTCATAGGCATGACAAGGGAAGAGGGTCCACTAGCATCTTCATTGTACCTAAGACAGGCTGAGTTTTCAGTTTGGAAATCTGATGCCTCAGGCAGGGCAGGGCAGACAAATGTTCCCAGTCAGGGTGTAACTGCACTGGCTCACAAGAGTCTTCCAGGATGGCTGGAGTAGACCCCCATCAATTTCACATCTTGATTAATTGCTCATGTAATTAATAGGAAGATGGGGCTATGGCTGCCCAGAGTATTTTATTGGAAATCAAAGCTTGTTCCCTAATCTATAGAGATTTGTTGGGAAGAACAGTGTTTTATTTGAGTTTACAAAAGATGTACTGGGAACATATTAAGTCCTAACCCACTGTCAAATTCTGATTTTCAGGAACAAATGATGAGTGCTTTGATTTGGTTAGTGTTTGTTACAAGTTTTTGGTTTTTTTTTTTTAACCAAGTGTTATCCATGTTTATAAAAGGAAGGATTCGGGGGGTCAATTGTATCAATCAATGAAAAGACTTCTAAACTTCTAAACTTGTAAAGACACTTTCAATCATTCTGGATCTTCACAATGGCTAATGTTGTGCTAGTGAACAATGTTTACATGTTATTATGTTTGTACAGTTACAATACACAGAACACTTTGATGGAGTGACAAGATTGCTCGATCCTGGGTCCCAACCAACCATCAGTTTACTCACCACAATCATTGGTTTCTGGTACCCTTCCTAGGGTGGCCTAGGAAGTTAGAGAAAGGTTGAAAAAGAAAAAAGAAAAATTTCATTCTTAAGTGACTTTCAATGTAATTAAAGATAAGTAATATAATAGAAAGTGCAAATACCTTGTGGACTGAGATTTTAATTTTTTTGCCAGATAGATAGGCCAGTAGATTTTTAGATGAAATAAACTATGCTACATCACCACCACCACCACCACCACTGTTGCTTTCTAGCCCTTAGTGGTTGATTCAACACAAAGGTTGAATATCTTTTCCAATGTAGAACCAAATTTGAACTTAATTATTAAGAAAAAAATGGAAAAGCTTTATTTTTTATTTAGACTTAAGTATTAAAGAAATCACAGTCAAAAACTTTGCCTAAAACATTTTCAGACCTGCTCTTTTCTCAGTAATCCAGACTCAAGCAGAATCTGACATCATTATATATGAGAGCATTCCACCCAATTTTTTTGATACCTTCATTTTTTAAATTTCATTTGGATAATTCATTCCTCCTCTTAAAGAAAACATTTTAATTGACTTAGAACTCTCTCTTTTCCCTACAATGGATGCATCTTTGTAAATGGTAAACTTTGCTACTGAAAGGACATCACTAAGCTTCTTTTCATATCATTTGGGTCTGAACTTAATTCTCAGTAATTTATCTTGACATTTTTACTTTGAATAGAAATATACATGGGAAAATATATACTAGTGAAGTTTGTAGTATTTACGATTATATTATCTCTGTTTAGAATAACTTTTATTAAAACTTCTAAAAGACACTTTCAATCATTCTGGATCTTCACAATGGCTAATTTTGTGCTAGTGAACAATGTTTACAAGCTAATATGTTTGTACAGTTACATGTTTTTCTTTATGAGTAGCTCCTGGACAGAGCCAAAAGTTCATTTTTCATGAGTGCAGAGTCTCTGGAAGATTCTAGGAGAGTCACAGTTTTCAGGGATTGGATCTGTATATTGTTTGGAGCAAGGGGCCATCTTGTGTTTACATGCAGTGATGTGTGTATTTGTGTCTGTATGTACAGTGGTAAAACTGGACAACTTATTAACGTGTGTATTACTCTACCCCCACCCCAAATTTAGTTGAAACAAGTAGAATGGAGCACAGTTTCCTAGTGATAGCATATTAGCTTATTAAGCCTCTGGTTAAGACAAAAAAAAAAAAAAGGAAGGAAAGGAGACAGAGAGAGAGAAAACGACAATCTTTAGATTTACTGAAAATGTGGGATCACATTCTTTGTTTAAAAAAAAAATCAAGCTTTTATACTTGGTCAAAAGTTGCTCTGGAATCCAAACAGGCCTGTCTCATTTTAAGAGCACTTGAGCATCACCATTTTTACTTGGATGCACATCTGGGCCATTCCTTGGTCGTTTGTGCATCATGGACAGGTTTAACTGATAAGCTAAAAGTAGTTCTCAAGATTCAGATGGCAAATAGCCATCATCACACTGTTTAGGAAGCTGCATTCACAGATGACATACGTAGCATCAGGTCTGGCTTGAACCTTGCCATGTGTAGGAATCTGCCACAGTGCACGCGGAGGATCCTCTCTCTGTGAAGCTTGTATGGGCAGTGAAATCAAAACTATCAGGGGTCTTGGGAGATGCGGCAGGCAGAAAAGGATAGCAGAGGGGCGCAGGTCCGCTCTCTGTTCTATGGAATCCTTCCTGCCAGGAAAGTCTTTGTCCAGGTGAGATGAAGGTGTAGGGATTCCAGAACCTGAAAGCATTTTGGAACTGGCTCTGAGCATCCGATCCAGATGCGCTTGGCCCCTAAGAGGGGAGACCTGCCCTGCCTAAGTGCGTGGGTCTGGCCCCAACCATACAAACGGGTGGAGGCTGGATCAAGGTCCCTGCCTTCACCAAGTGGCCTCCAACAACCCTCGTTCTCCCGTTGTCCCGCGAGGGCTTGGAGGCCCTGGCTCTGGGTGGTCGGGCCGTCTCAGGCGGTTCCGAAGTCCCGCTGTCCTCCTCCCCTCCAAAGAGGACCTGAACCCCGCTATCCGTGCTACTCGTGGTGTCCTAGTGAAACGAGGGCGCAAACGCGCCCGACGTGCCTTGGCGACCTGGGCGGCACCGCGCCCTGCTTCGCGCGTCCAGTCCCCGCCGTGCCCTCCGGGCCATGCCCTGCCTGGAGCCAGCTGGGCCTCGTGGCTGAGCTGCCCTCTGTATTTGTATTTGGATTCCTACGTTTGTACTTCTACTACAAATAAATGCACATGTTGTCAGAAATACTGAAAGTGTGTGTCTTTCTGGTTTGGGTAGATGACCAAGAGCAGTGGCTGGGGTCAAGGTCAGAGAGGTCTGCTTGTAATCCTACCTCCCTTGGAGGAGAGTGGCACCGAAGGCCTTGCTCAGATGCTCACCTCTGAGGAGCTTGACCTAGGGACGGATTATGGGGGTTCCTCTGGCTGAAAGCTTAGACATCGCCATTTTCCAAGGGAAGCTCATTCCTCCACTCCTGCAAAAGCCCATAAACATGACCCTCACTCCACCTATGGAAAACAGGACACCCCAGTCTAGCCAAGTCACACAGCTGGTCCCAAACTCTAAGTTCAATGCACAATTGAATTAAATAAGGAAGGTAGGAAAGGGGGACTATGAGACATTTTTTGCCACCTCTACTTGCTTCTATCCAAGCCAAGACCTACAAGAAGCCACTTCCCAGGCATACAAGACATTGGGTTTATAGGCATTAATTCTATCACTCTAGCCCCTACAACATCAAGGCATCAGGATCCCAAAGGCAGCTCACTTGGAGAAGGTGCTGCAACCCCACACTAAAGGAAGGGAACACCTTCGCAAAGCAGAGGTAAATTGACCACCACCGACAGCAGACATTAAAGGATTTAGGTCCTGAACTTTGGTCTATATGAATTGAACAAATTTTACTAAAAGAGAGCAATCCCAAGTCTCTTAGCTCACCCATTATGACTTGAGCACCAGAGTTGTGTTCCTCCCTGATGGGTGCTGCACTGTTCCTCAGGGATGGGTAGGAATTGGGGACTATGAGACATCTTTCGGCCATTCTATCTGCTTCTATTTATGCCAAGACCAAAGAAGCCACTTCCCAGGCATGCAAGACATCGGGTTTTTAGACATTAGTTATATTACTCCAAAGTATCTATTTTGGCGTTCTCAGCATTATTCCTTGGATCACTTCAATCTGTGCTTGAAAAATAGTGAACATTTCACTTTCACTAATCATATCCTCTTAGTAGAATTGGCAAGTTTCCCTGTTTTGTGATCAAAGCCACAGCCCCTCCAGAAATAAATCACAATAATAGTTGGCATTTATTGAAGGCTGACTTTGCACATATGGAATTAGTCCTTAGCACCTTATGGTGGAGGTACTAGTTTTGTCACCATTTAATTGATGAGAATGCTGCGACATGCTCAATAAGATAAACTTAGTAAAATACAGAAAAGAATAATTAAATGGATAGGAATATTGCTCAATGGTACGTAGATTGCATGGCATGCTCAAAGCTGAATTCAATTCACAGCACCCACCCCCCAAAATGTAAATGCTAGAAATAAGACTTCAAACACTTCAAAATTCCGTTCTTGTTGCCACATTCTGCCAGTCAGCATCTTCAAAACTTTGATACTGTGGAGTGTACTGTAGTGGATTCTTTTAATATGGTGGACATTTAATTCATTTAAAAATACTTCTGTTTGGGAAAGAACTTCCCTTTCAAAGGGATATCTTAAAAATGTGTTAAAATGGCACACTGAGGTCAACTGTGTCTGGTAGGGATCCACATAAATCAATAACAGCTACTCTAAACTATAAAAGTAATATATAGACTGTTCTCTCACTTCTGAGTTAGGAACAGGGACTTTCTCTTTCACAGAAATGGAGTGGCAGTGACTGCAGGTCATGCCCAGAGCCAGACTGTACTGATTACCTCTGCAAGTAAGGAGAGACTTCACAAAGTGGTGAGGAGATATGTGTCTCTACTCCACATTAATTCATCTTGCCTTTTCTAAAAGCCTTCAAAGACTCTCCCTCGGGCAGTAACCTCCCAAGGGACAACATTTTCAAGAATGGCACCATTCCTTCATTACCTTTGACCCAAAACATCCAAACAGAGCCCAGAAAACGCATCCTGAGATCTCTTCCCTGGGGAGGCAGCAGGCACTCTTAAGAGGTTTAAGACTTTTTTAGAAACCAGGGAATATGCATGGTAACTTATTTTAAGGGTATGAAAATGAGAAAGGGTCAGCTTTAAAGCTGATATGACTGTATTATTTATAAGGGGGTTAAATAACACAGGGAATTTGTGTTCAAGGTTCAAAGTAATGTTTAACAGTTATTCAAGTAAAATGACTATTGAAACCAGATTCTCAGTTACTTACAGCCAAAGAAATTGAGATTAGCAATTTCCTAATGCAATGTAAAGGAAAAAGTCTAAGTCTCTGGAAGATGGGTATATTGGAGGGGTTAAGCACATGCAACTAATTATCTGCCACCTGGCCACAGGACTTGGGATACCCTCCCACCTAAAGAATGTGAAAAACATTAGTGAAGAAGTCCCATCAACCACCAAAGCTCTGGCAGGCTTCAAATGATGGTGGGGAATGCCACCATGGATCTAGGATTCAGGGTTTCAATAGGAATCATGTAATCCAAGATGAGTGGGGCCAAGTGGCAGGGCCTAACCTTCAATAGCATTTCAGTGTTTAAATACCAATACTTGATCCAATCAATGGCATACAACTATACTCAACTTCTTTGTTCAGGTAAGTTGTAGTTTCCAATAATGCTGACTGTAACCCATTGGGAATCAAAGCATAGAAATAAATGACCAAAGAAACAAGTGTCAGAGGACTTTGGGCATTAACAAAGGCACATTTGTCAAAAAAAGAACTACCATATTCTGGACACTAAGCTTTTGTCTGACCTGTCCTTTCCCCCTTCCTTAGCCATACTGTGAAAGGTCAGAATAAAGCACGACTCCTGTTACCTTATGTGCCCAATGTGGAGCAGAAAACCACTGCAGTTAATTTAAGTAAAATGGCAGACATGGGCATAGGCAGGCAACCAATGTGCCTTTTAGTAAAGTAAACTAAGTGCAAGAAAAGTTTAACAACTTTATTTGAACAAATGGCAATTCATGAATCAGGCAGCTGCCAACCAGAAGTATTCATTCAGGAGCTTCATGAAGGGATGTAAAGGGGAGCTTTGATAGGACAGACAGGGAAATAAAACACAGAAAACATTTGATTGGTTGCAGTTATAACCATGCCTTATTTGGTGTATTCTGCTAGAAAGTCCCTAGCTATTTAATCATAAGTTAGAAGGCTGCTTCTGATTCATGGAGCTTAAGTTCTCTGTTTCACATAAGAACTGACCCAAGTTTCTCTTATGTTCACAAATCAAGCAAGATAAGGTCACCTGAGAGCTGGCTGGCTTCATCTGTCCGGTATTCTACAGGCCCAATCTTCATTTTAATTTACATCATCACATCAAACCTAAAAAGAACTAGCATTTGGCATTTTAAAAGCAAGAAGAAAAAGAGAACAGATCACCTGGTGACTGAAAGTGAAATTTTAAAAGAACTTAACTCCTACACATTTTTCCCCAAGGGGGCTGGGGTAATGCAACGAACCAAACAAGTGAGAAAAAAGCTGAGGGGAATAATTTTCCATAAAAGGTCTTTTAAAATGGAAATAATTAAAAAGCAGTAATCTCCAATACATTTTTCCCCTTTCATGACAAAGTTCTTTTTGCCTAATTCCTCATTTCTCCAACAGGGCTGTTGCTAAGCATGATACCTGGGGCTCTTGCTAAAGTTAAGTGCCTGAGTGATTTTTCTGGAGATTCTGATTTACTAAGTCTTAGGTAGGACCCAGGAATAGGCATTTATGAAACATTTGTGTAGCTAAGTTGGGAAGAGATAGCTTAGGGAACATTTTTAGCCCCCTCCTTTCAAAATGCAAAATAGGGATGGAACAAGGAACAAATCCATCAATTATATAAGTAAATATTTAAGACAGACAAGCAATTTGAAATTAGATTAAAGCAACTAGTCTTCTCCA